GCCGACGACATCGTGCCGTGCCCTTGACTCGGTGAGCCTGTCACATACTGAATATGTACATCTTCCAGCTGAACACGCCGGCCAGGACGCTGGCCACCGCCACGGCGTGGTACAGCCCGAGGAGGACGATGTTGTACCAGACGAGCGGCTGGCGCGCGCCGGGCGCCGAGTTCAGCCTGGCGTCCAGGGCGGCGGCGTTCGCCTTGCTCGGCGGCGGCGGCGGCAGGGACGCCGTGGAGCCTTCCAGCTGGGGCGGCATGGTGTGCTGAGGGCGGCGGTGGAGCGGCGGGACTGGCTGGACTGTACGGCCCCCTGTGCGGGCACCCCGAACGGCGGCGCACCAAGAACTGGTGACCCCTCTAGAGCAGGCTAACGAGGTGAACCGTTTTGTGACGCGTTTAGCTGACGGCCGGAACAAAGGGTCAAACTTTTGACCGGTTTTGACCAGTTTTGGCGAGGCCTCGTCTACTGAAAGTAAAGGAGTACGCAAATTCGATCCAAATGAAGCGAGGCCGTATATCCAATTTTATGACTTCTGGGGGAGCGATATTCATTACATCGCTCGTTTGGAGTCCGTTTCACGACATTTTTGGTTACAAATAAAGATTCATTTTGAGTCACTTTCGCAAACATCGCTTGTTAAGTTGTTTTTGCGACATTTTCGATTACGAAGAAGACTCATGTTGAGTCATTTCGCAAACATCGCTCTATTACAGCGATGAAGCCATTACGGCGCTCATATTCGCGCAAGAAAACTCGCTCTATGTTTTACAGTGTCGCCGTGCTATGCTTTGTTTAATTAAGCTTCGGAGACTAGTCTTCCCGAACCTCTCCGGAGAGATCGGGGTGACTGTCCCCGAAGCTTCTTTGAATATAGCACTACACTGGTAAAACAAGTGTTCAATTTTGCACGTCAATTGACGTTTAAGTTCAAGTGTGCATTTTCTCGACACTTTGTGGTGTCTTACTATGTTATACGTCAATTGGTGTTTAAACATTCGACACTTCCGAAACGTATAGCAGCTGCACACCGTATGGTTTCCCTATTGACAGCATACACTGAGAAAAAATTTTGGTGCCAGGCACTAAAACTTTTGTGCCCAGGTCGAAAGTTTTTCGACGCACTAAAGTGTTTATTTCCAGGGGAAAAAGGCGTTTAGTGCGCCGGCTTTGGTGCCAGGCGCTAAATAGATCAGGCAGTGGCACTAAAGAATATGCAAGCTCAGGCATTAACTAAGTCTTTTTTCCCGAACGTTAACTGAGTACGATGACACGGACAATATTTTTTTCTGGATTTGGTCCAAACTCTGCAACAAGGGAGTGAAGTAGTGCAGTTGTCTTTCATACGGGTGGAATAGCTTTGCACTTGTCGTGCAAGAAGTTCCTTTTCAAAAATAGGTGCCATGGTTTGAAATGGCGGCGAGTGGCGGCGCCCTACTGAAAAATGCGTCAATAATTCAGAAAAACTGCCCAAGCACCTGATGCTGTGTGCACCCGGGGCACCCAGCGAGATGCAAGGCAGGCATTTCGATAGTGGTGCCATCTAGCGGTGACATCCGAACTACTCAATCTTACATACTTCGTTCATCAAACAAAGTGCACCTCAGCCTGTAGCACAAGACGTGTTTGGCGCCTGGCGCTAAACCCCATTATTGGTACACCACGGAACTTCTATTGGCCAGCACTAAACTTTTTGTCCCGGGCACAAAGTGGGACGCATTAAACAAGTGTTTAGTGCCGGGAACCAAAAATTTTTCTCAGTGTAGAACTGTGTGTGTCCAAGTGTGCAGAATTTAAACGTTTACAAAACGTCTAAAATTTGCACACCACGCAAGTGTGCAACTTGACTTAAACACCATGTGATGTGCAGAATCACAACTTGCACACGTTTGGTGTGCAAATATTGCACACTTGTTTTACCTGTGTACACTGTGAAAGAATTTCGTCATTTCACGATTATAATCTGTCACAAATAGTTGTAGTAAAGCATTACGCGGTAAAACTGAAATGCAAAAAAATGCGGGGAACAATAAAAAATATACAAAGATTTATTGCACCAGTGTGTACAGCACAGCATCGCGGGTGTTGTGTGTGGTCCTATGTCCCTCATTGGATAACCATCGGCCGTCTTATCCTCGGGGATAGATGGATCAGACAGCCCGACAGACAGTGAACTGTACACCAACAAAAGTGTGTACTTGTTCCTAGACATACAAGCGCCCTTCCATCGGGTATTTTGCTGGGGCGGAAATGGGCCGGAAGAAGATCAAAGGAAGTCACCAATCGAGGATCCTAGGTCAAGGATATTTTTTTCTGAAAACATTCAAAACCAAAACATCTTTTCAGGAAAAAATTAACAGAGATTTTCTTTTTAAAACAAATCTTGAAAAGTTTTCCCAAAAATTCATTGTTGAAAATTAAAATCCCAAGCCGTATCGGGCGCTTCCTCTGGAAAGGGTCCGGTGAGCCGCCTCCGTACAGCGCCTGCAGCCGGCACGTAGGCAACCCAACATGCCCGTTCGGGGCAACCGCGGGTCAAATGCGCGACCGGCTACTCGTGCATATTTATAAACAGTGTTCAGTGTTGCACTTCCGAGCGAAAGAAAGGCCTGCGTCCTTACGGGGACTTTCATTTGCTGGACAGTTTCTATAAGTCCGACTCTTCAAGCCGCACGCCAGGGACGTAAAAAAGCGGGGAAATTTTGTATTTCCTCACATCTTTTGTGATTGAGCACACAGCAAAGCACCATGCTGGCCTTTAGGTACATAGACAAAAAAGTGAGGGCAGGGCGGGGCTGTAAAATTTCGCGAGCGGAGCGAGCAAGGAAATTTTGGGGTATTTCTTCACAATTTATTTACGGTCTACAATCACCGGAGCCTATTTTTGCCCCGAATTTCATTGCAAATTTTCCTGCATTGGGAACAAAACTATTTTCATAATCTGGGTCAGGGAAAAAGAACTGTGCGAGCGCTGCGAGCGCGAATTTTTGGGTTTGTAGAGCGCAACACTGTGAGAAATATATTTGTACATGTACGATATATTTTGTAATTTGCCATTTACAATACGAGTCGTACATGTACAACCTACCACTGTCGCTCGATATTCGATTCCAAGTCGATACATAGGGCTAGTAAATTGTACAATTTTAGATTGTACTTGTACGACTTCTTCCATGGAAAATTTTCCTGTACCCGGTACGACAATTTTTCACAGTGAAAATGCGTTCAAACTGGCACTGGATGGCACCAAAAGTGTGCTTTTGAACGGCCATTGAACATATATCACCCTATCGGGGAACTCTTCTGGGCCCCCTGCGGGGGCCCAGAGAGACCCGGGGGGCCCCGGCCGAAGAGGGGCCCAGTCGGGGATCCCCGACTCCCCGACCTGGCCAGTACGCGCCTGCCGCGCGCAGGCAGTGACAGCTTCACTGGCTGACCCGCGAGATTCTGCTAAGCCACCCCCCTGTAGCCCGCGCGAGTTCCGTGTTATCTCACATCATGAAATCCTACGTAGTACCGCCCAGTATCGTGTAATTGTGTGTAGTTCCGCGCAATCTTATTGAGTAATCTCTCACGATCCCGCGTAGTCCCACACACGTAGTCCGATGTAGTCCGACGTCATCCGGTCATCTGGGCGTCGTAACGCACCGCAACGCAAATAGAAACCGCTCGAAAACGAAAATTAATTTTCAACTTTGCAAGCGTTTTCAGCTTGCGAAACGCGTTTTCGTTTTGGAAAAGGCTCAAAGGAGGCTGAAAACGATTTTAGTAACGCTTAAAAGGTTAAAAGTTAGTTCTAAGCGTTTTTAAGCGTTTCCATTATGCGTTACGTTACGTTAGCCGGTCATCACACGCATACTCAATAATGCAGTACTGGGAATGCCCCCCCCCCCATGTGCGATAATCAGCGTCGTCTTCTCCTTGGGGGTGGCCCAGACCGACCGCACACTCAAAAATCCCGTGTACCCGACAGTACACTAACAAAGTGAGTACTTGTTGCCCAAAACGCCCTTCAATTCGGGCGAGCTCCGTCGTAACTGCACTAAAAAGTCGGCGTCGTCCAGAAAATGTGTACTTTTTCTACTTCCGGTTCGGATGGCCCGCGCGGGGGACCGGGACCATGTCTCAATCACACGTGGACATGCGTCACCGCAGGGAGTATAGCAGCAGCGCCTCTTTCCCGGGCGGCCGGCCGCACGGGAAAAACAATGTCTGATTTTTTGAGGAGAAAGGGAAAACTTTGAGGATCTCCCATATTTGAGGAAAACTCCTCCGATTTTGAGGAAGTCTCCTCAAAAAATGTGGTAAATTCCCTCATTTTTTGAGGAGACTCCCTTGAGGAGTTTTCCCCAAATTAAGGGAGTTCCTCAAAGTTTTTCCTTTCTCCTCAAAAAATCAGACATTGTTTTTACCGGGGCGAGCAGCGCGTCGACCTTACGCCACCGCCGTGCGTATGTTTGTGTGGCGTTACACTTTGAGGCCGCCGATGCAGAGGTGGTCAGTCTCTAATGGGATCTGCAGACGCGCAGCCCGGACGCCCTGCGCTGACGTTTATTCAAGTGTCGCGGCCCGCGCGGCTCGCACGCCCGGTT